TATATATATATATATATATATATATATATATATATATAAATATATACACTTTAGAAATTAGAAACCCTCGTGAGATTGCCTCAAAATATGGCATGTCATACCTCCTGAACCATAGATGGTTTAATCAGACCTGTTTACTCTTACGATTTTGGCGTACAATGTACGATTTTGATGTGTGTACATTATATATAATGTATGTTTATTTTTTTACTATCAAGATAATATATTTAATGATTTTGTGATGATATTGTACGATTTTAAAAGTTTGGGGGTAAACAGGTCTGTTTTAATTGAATTATGGTCCAAATACCTTCACCCAACCTTATGACCTGAAACATATTAGGGAGCATCATATGGAGATTTTGTTTCTCCTATGAACCCATCTTGAACATGTAGATATTGAATACAGATATTGTATTGGCATAGTTTTTTTTTATAGTTTTTTTATGCATTTATTACGGTTTGCAATTTCATGTCAGTTTGCATTATATTTCAATTATGTTTGAAGATCATGTTGAATCTAGGCATCGTTACTTCCGGCGCTAGCGTTGCCTGGTCCTCAAACAACAGTGTCGTACCTACAGAGAAAAAAAAAGAAAAGAAAAACTAGTTTTTACTGTTAAAGGACTGGCAACAGTATCTATCTAACACATACAAAAGTATATATCTAACACATACAAAAGCATTGCCACCATATTCAATTTGGGCACCCCTCCTGGCCCATATCCACTCTAAAGGAGTGGACCCTTTGGTATATATATATCTATAAAAATGTATATATAATTATGTATGTATATGTGTGTTTTTTTTTAACTTTGTTTTTTCTATTGACCCCTCTCTTCCTGACGGATGGCCTTAGAGGTTTTGCACAAGAACCTGGCAGTGCCAAGTTTTAATTTATAACTTAGCTGCATATCTCGTATAACTCTGTACACTTTAGTTAAGTCATTTTGGTAGTCATGTGGGCCTGTTATAATTTGAAAACTAAAATAGATCATTGCAGCCTTGCAAAGAAAGATATATTATATCTACGCATTTATTATTTACCTCTGTCACGTCAATGCTTTGGTATTTGATGCATTTGTATGATTTATTTATTGTAATTTAAACAGGCACTTGAATCAGTCCTGTAGAATTATGAAAATTATTATAACATGATTGTTTTCTAAATCAATCCATTTATTTCCTGGTCAATGATTGGTTTACTGAACATTACTTACTTCAAGAATAAAGAGTGAAAAAGCGTTAAATCAAGTTTTTCCCAAGATTCTTGAAGTGTTTTTGTTATGGTTGGTGCATTTTTGAACAATTTATGTCGCTGTTGGATTGATTCAATCTTCCCTCTCCTTGTTTAACCCTATAACGTCGATGATCTGCCGTTATACCCCTTTCTGTGGTGTCACGGCCGATAAAATCGGCTGTTAGCAAAATCGTCATTAAAAATGCAAATTGATTTAATGTATATTGTTTCACGGGAAATCACTTTATATAAATGAATTTGCTTCCTGTCTGTCAGTGATTTTGCATGCTTTTATTGTGGATTTTTTTTTTAGTGATTAATCGGTTGTGAAATTTTTTCACCGCCATAATGTCTGATGCTGGAGGGGGCCCCCCTCTAGGTATCAAAATTAACACAGAATTTCTTTATTGGAAGTATTTAAAATATATTAAAGTGATAGCAGAGAAATCAGAGATATTCCATGTGCTAGTAATGACAACATTAGCTCTAGCGGTGATGTCGAGATAAAAGTCAGATATTGACAATTTGATCCCTAAGCTTCGTCGTATTGTTATAGACCCATTCATTTCGGAAAGTGTGGAAATCCAACAGAAGAAGACACAGATTTGATCCCAAAGATCTACACCAAAGATGTTTATGTTTGTGTATGTTGTGGAGTATTATTTAATAAAAAATGGATTTAATAACTTCAAATGAAAAGGAATTACTGAACCCATTTCATGCCTTCCCCATTATATTTTGTATAACATAAATTTGAAGGTAATGAGTGAAAAAAATTCACCAATGTCACAATTTCCAATATAAGTAACTATAACTTGACATTTATGAAAGAATATTGCTTCTTATATATCAAAAAGCTTATTAAAAACTTGATTTTATGATAGTTGAATAATTTATGGAGTATTTAGGGTGGGTTGAATTCAGAAGTTGAGTAATAAACTTTAACTCACTCTGTCAAGTTCAACATCACCATTCATAATGTAAAAACAATTTCTTTTCATGCCATAAGACACCTTGTTCAATGTTCTTTCAGAAAATGTGTACTTGTCAGGGTCTCCGAAATTCATTTAGTCTGGGATTTTGGTCATTTTTTGACAAGCATATGAAATTGCTAAAAAATGGCTTGATGCCGTAGAAAATTGTTCTTGGCAGTGATAGGGTTAAAATATATTTTGTGAGTATCTGCTCTTCTGGTCAGCATGCAAAGCGCGTGCGGCTATCCACTTCAGTCGCGTGAGTGAAAACCTTACTTACCGTTGTTATACCAGTGTGGTCATGGTTGTTGAACTCGTTAAAACCCACAGCATCGTCACACCAAATGTATAACTTGTGGTAGCAGGTGGGAGTGGGAACCACAAGCCATTACCTACATTCAAATGGCTGTATCTATTTGGTCCCAACACTATATCACCCTTTCTAACTTTAACAAAAAAAATATTTATATCTATACAAAGGCGATGAAAATTTATGTAAAAATTGAATATCATATTTTTCATTATGTTCCAAAC